ACACGCTGGCATGGTCACACCGGTCACACACGCTCACACATGCTGGCACGGTCACACACGCTCACACACACTGGCATGGTCACACCGGTCACACATGCTCACACACGCTGGCACGGTCACACACGCTCACACACGCTGGCGCGGTCACACAGGCTCACACACACTGGCATGGTCACACCGGTCACACATGCTGGCATGGTCACACCGGTCACACACGCTCACACATGCTGGCGCAGTCACACAGGCTCACACACACACCTTGAACTCATTTCGGATCTCATGCTTCTTGATGGTGGCTGCTTCCTGCACCCGGATGCAAAAGTCCCAGGAGGAGAAGACCTTGCTGCTGAGAGGCACCTTGTAGTCCTGACCCAGCAGAGTCTTCTGCGGTAGCCCCTTCACCATCCTGCAGGGCAGGAGATCAGGGGCTGCTGGAGGAGGGGCACCTCTACCATCCAGTGTCAGCCTCGGCTGGGCTCTGGGTCTAGGGTGGGGAAGGCCCTGGCAGCCCCAGGTGCAGGCCCTGGTGAGTGAGGAGTCAGAGCAGGGGGTGGTGGCCCTGTTCATAAGGTCTGTGGCCAAAGCCTGGGCTAAGGAACCACCCAGGAGCCAGTGGTGTGGGGCCAGAGGCCTTCCTGCCAGTGGGAGGGTACCATGCCAAGGAAGGGGTGATCAGGGAAGATGCCCCGGCGGTGGGTGAAGGCATGGGCTTCGCTCTCACCGCTGCAGAGTTCCGCAGAAGCAGAGGAGCAGGCAGGCCAGTGGGCTGAGGAGATAGGCCAGGCGGATGCTGTATGCTGAGCTGCTCTCAGGCCCCACCCGGTATGCTCCATAGAAGAGGTAGGTATTGGTGAGGGCCTGGGGACAGCAATGGAGACGCCCAGCCCAGGTGAGCGCCAGGCGCTGCTCAGGTGCTTTCCATAAAGGATTGCATTAGCCCCCTGAAATCCCCACCAGGTAGGGAGTGTCCAATCTTACAGAGGCCCACAGAGGTTTGGCAACTGTCCCCAGGTCACAGGGCTTTGAGAAAGAGCCGGGACTGGAACCCAGGACCCCCGATGGGAACCACTCCCCCAGTGGCTTCCCAGGATGAGGGTGGGGAAGTGCTTCTCCCAGAGGCTGGGACACTTTTCCCTTTTTGTCCTTTGCACCCTTACACCAGCTGGGCTCCGGGGGCCAGGGGCATATGCCCCAGAGTCTGCGTGGGGCACAGCGGCCTCTGCCTGTCCCTAACCCCACCAATGGCCAGCCCAGTCTGTCTGTGTGAGATCATCAGGGAGGAGCCGAAATGCCCCTGGAGAGGTAGAGGTCCTCTTAGACTTGTGTCCGCTGAAGCCACTTCCCTGGGTCTCCCAGACTCTGTGGACCACAGCTAGTAGGGACCCCACTCACCCTGCCAGTTAAAACATGCCAAACTTGATTGTGGAACTTCAAAACGCCCGTCTGGGACTGGCTGCTTCCGGGGCACTGGAGGGCTGTTGGGAGGGAGGGGCTGATCGAGAGGGATCCACGAGGCAGCGGCGAGGCCGTGCGGATACCGCTCCATAGCCCCAACCCGGGGGAGGCCTGAGCAGGGCGCTGCGGATGTGCCGGGGTGTGCCCCACACCAGGCGGGGTCAGGGAGAGAGAGCCCCGGCCGGGCATGGCGGGAGCACGCCCAGGGTTGCCCCCGCGCTCTGGGCCCTGGGCCAGCCCCCGGTGGCGCAGGTGGGCACCGGAGCTCTTCCCCTGGTGGGCCGCGCGCTTACTCAAGTCCAGGGCGGGGCCTGGGTCCGGGGTGCTGAGCCAGGCCAGGGGTAGCAGCACGAAGCTCACGGTGGGCAGCAGGCTCAGCAGGTTGAGCAGTAGCAGGAAGCGGAGGAAGGTGAAGTAGGACTGGATTCCGGTGCCAAAGAGGCCTGCGGGGGCGTGGGAGGGAGAGCGGGGTGGGCCGGGGAGGCCGGGACCCGGCTGAGAGTCCAAGGCGGGGTGGCCGCCCGGCTCCCACCCACGCGAGTCCGGCGGTGCGGCTGACAGCTGCCTGGGGGTGCTGCGTGGGCCTGAGGTTTGCGGTGCCCGCGGGAGGAGGGGGTGGGAGCGAGGAGGGGCTGATTGGTCGGGGGACCCGGCCGAAGGCGGGTGGGATGATGCCTCCCTCCTTTTTTCCAATCTGGACAGTGGGGCTCCGGAGAGGGCAAGGAGAGGCGGGGTTAGCGCGGGTCCTACCCCCGATCTCGTAGAGAGCCCCCTCCCAGAGCCCGAGGCCCCGGGCCAGCCGCTGTGCCGCCTCCCGCAGGCGCCTTTTCACCGTCTGCTGCCGGCGCTGCCACCGCTGCCAGCGCAAGGTCTGAGTTCCCGCGGGCTCACGCAGCCGCCTGGACGCGGGTGGGGACAGGGGCGACCCTGAGTCACCCACCCTGCCCGCCCGCGCCAGGCAGACGCGCATGGGCTGGAGGAGTCTTCCCGCCCCATCCGACGGGGTAGCCTGGAAGCGCCCCCCACCCACCGCCCAGCGCCCACGTGGCACCCACCAGATGAGGCGCTTGTCCATCATGGCATAGGGCAGCCCGCGCACTGGAGCCCCGGAGCATCGCAGCCGCTCCATCTCCGCCTCCCACAGCTCCTCGGGCTCCGGCCCCCCAGGGCCCCGTTCCGATGGCACCGACTGCGGCCGCAGCATCTCGGCAGGCGCGGGTGGAGGCTGGGGCGCGGGGCTGCGGGTGCGGGGGATGTGGGGCCCTGGGTGGATGAGTCGCAAGGCCTTGGCCCTGGCCTCTGGGAGCGCTGGGCTGGGGGCGGGCCCTTCCTTCCCCTCCGCACCAGCGTCAGGGCCTGGTCTGCGGCGGCCCAAGGGTCCACTTGCCGGGGTCTGTGGCCTGGCCGCCTCCGGGGCTCAGAAATGAGGAGAGAGAATCCTGGTGTGGGCGAATCCAGACTCAGTCCTGCTCCAACTCTCAGAGGGACACACAGCCCCAGCCTCAGTCTCCCCATCTGTCAAATGGGGTGAAAGACCCAAACGGCACAGAAAGAAGGACGGTCACAGGCAAAGCCAAGACCTGCTGCACCGCGCACCCACCTGTGCCCGAGCCCACCGGCGCCCACCTTCGCCCTGTGGAGAGACAATTCCTGCTTTTCTCCATGTGCCAGTTTGCCCTTCCAGCAGAGCCCGTGTCCCCAACCCCACAGTTCTTGGGACTCAGCATCTGCTGCATCTGATGTCAGGGGATCCCTTTCCATCTTCCTTCTCGTGGTCCAGCCTCCAAGCCTGGGTCTGCCCAGGTACCCCCAAAATCCCCCCAGGAAGAGCTGTGGTTACAGCCCCAGCAGTGGGGACAGGAGCAGGGGACCCACTGCTGCCCTTGTGAGGCTCTAGCCGGCCCCCCACAGCCCGTCACCCTCTGCATCCTCCCTCCACTTGACATCCAGCTCACCTGGAGACCAAGGGACAAAGTCCCTGGATGAGTCCCCTCCTCAGACGGCTCCTGCCAAGGCAGGCAGGGCGGTAAGGGAGTCCAGGGGAGGGCTCACGTGACAGGAACCCCAGCTTCCCCCTCCACTACCTCCCTCCTCCCCTCCCACCCCACGGTTTCCTCTGCTCTAAACTGAGGCTGAGCAGGCACTTCCTGAGGGCCCCTGAGACACAGAGTTGCAGGTGACAGGCGCTGGCAGCTCGTGCTCCCTGGGAGCTCTGTGTGCACTGGTCTGGGGACCCGCCCTTCCTTTCCCTCTGCACAGGAGCCTGGTCTCCTGTGGTCTTAGGGTCCACTGGTCCGGGTCTGCCCCCGGCTGCCTCCAGGGCTGCCAGGCCCGTGGCTGAGGCCCTCTCTGTTTGCCCTTGGGGCCTGACCTGGGAGGCTGACATGGGTGGGGATTCGGATGTCGGAGGCGCAGGGGCCAAGCTCTTTATCTGCCTGCCACAGGGTCCCTGGAGGGCGCGATATGACAGAATGGTGGGGTCCCCTGAACACCAGCTGCTGGGTTTCCAGATACTCCTGGTGTTACTGCTGGACTTCTTGCCTCTGTCATTGGTGCTACCATTGTGCCAAGGCCCAGGACTGGCACCTGGTCCATAGTAAGTGCCCAGGAATCGGCTCTATTTGTGCTCGCCCAGGCTAGATGTTTAAGACACACCTTTGCCAATTTCCTGTCCTCGGGCCCCTGGGGGGCCCACAGCCCTTCCTCCCTGCTCCCTCTCCACCTGCTATAGGGCCCAGTCGTCTCAGGTCTGAATGTTTATAGCTTTTCTCCCTCTCTGCCTGAGGCATCCTTCCTGGTTTCCAGAGTCCTTGCTGTAAGTCAGGCCCGAGCCGTGTGCTGGTGCTGGGCACACAGTGGGCTGGGGTGGGAGGGGGCACAGCGCCACAGATGTGCATGTCAATAGGAAGTGGCAGGTGCTCCACCAGGGTTCAATCTGGGGAGGCTCCCCACAGGAGGTGGCATTCATGCAAATTCAGTGTGGGTATGCAGGGAGGGGGAAGAGTGGGAGGAGAGGCAGGGGCTGGACCTCCATGCCAGGGTGCCATTTGTCAAGAACCAGCTTGGAGTAGCCATCTGAGGACCACACTGGCAGCTGCAAAAGGCCCTATCCTGGGCCTCACTTTTGCCTGCCTGCTCTCCCCGGCAGCAGCACCCTCTCCTGCCCTCCTGGGCCCCAGCTCACATTTACTCTCATGCTTCATGGCCTCTCCCCACCAGGAATGACCCTCCCTTTCAAATGGGCTTGGGGTGGTGGGTGCCATCTCAAAGCCAGTTTCCTCCATAGGGTTCCCAGGTGGACCACCAAGTCTCATGCTTTGCATGGGGGCACCCTAAAGGGTGATTAACCTCTCTCAGCCTCAGTTTCCTCATCTGCAAAATGGGACTATCAGTGCATACCTTCCTGGCTCATGGGGAATTACAGAAAATAGAGCAACAGGTAAAGCACCTTCAGGTCCAGCACCTGGGGACGTTCACGTTAAGTGTCAGTGTGACCTCATTTCACCCCCTCCTCTCCACACCACACACAGGAAGTGAGCCAGAACTCTTACAGATAAACAATGAGCCCCACCCGGGTGTCAGGAGGGGCCGATAACCAGGCTCCCCCAGCGTGGGTCGGGGAGAGTCAGCAGGAGGCTTGCAGCTGAGGGGGAGGTTGCCCAATCTGGTGTGAAAGACTCTGTGTTCCTCGGGCTTTCAGCGGCATCTTACATGGATGATCCCTAACCATGGGAAGCAGATGGGTCTGGAATTATCGTCCCTTTTTGGAACTTGGGGAAACTGAGTCTCACAAAAATTGGGGACTTCCACCAGGGACTCGGATGAATCCAGACACTCGGCCCCCCTCACCCGGCTCAGACCTCAGAATGCGGTGCGAGGAGGGGTCGCAAGTTGGCAGAGGAGGAAGGCACAGTCGCCGCGGGGCGCCCGGAGGAGGGAAGGGGGCGCCACGGGCGGGACCACGTGACAGCCGAGGCCCGTCGCCCCGTAGGCCAGGCGGTGCAGCTCCACCCGGCCCCGCCAGACCTGCGTCGGCCCAGTGGCCCCCTGGGGTCCTTTGCCACTCCCTCGCACTAACCCCGCGGCCCCTCCCTCGGTTCCCGGCGGGGCACAGGTGAGCCTGGCTGCGCGCGCGGCCCCTCCTCCCCGGCGCCTCCCAGGTGAGCGGCCGCGATCCCGGTTCCGGGTCCCGCGGGGCTGCAGCTCCCGGCGGGGTGGAAGTGGGGGCGGCGCGCGGGTCTTGCCAGCCGCGGTCGCTTCTCCCCTGCGGGGACGGCGGCAACCCCTCCTGAACTCCGTTCGGCCACTGGGGCCCCTTGGCAGCCGGGTTCCCTCCCAGCTGCTCCCGGAGCTCCCAGGGGTTGACTCTCGGGCTTGGACCGAGCTGGGAGCGGGAGGGGCGGGGAGGGCAGCCCCAGAACCCCCAGCCGGGCCCCGGGACACCGGGGAAGGGGGGAAGCGGCCAGGATGGGAAGGGGCGGGGAGGCCGGGCCGCGCGGGGCGGGGAACAGGGAGGCCGGCTGGGCGGGGGTCGGTGGCCCCCGAGTTGCCGCCGCCCTGGGCTCCGGGGCCGGGTTGAGGCTCTCCATGGGTAGCGGCTGCTTCCGGGGAGCTCGCTGCCGGCTGGGGTGGGGGTTCCTGGAAACGGGCGCCACCCAGCCCCTCCCCACCTGGCTCAAGGCTCAGGAATGGTGCGCCCCGGAAACTCCGCTGGGCTTGCCCGGGCCTCGGGCGGGGTGCTGGGGCGCTGGGTCCCCAGGTCCCCTGAGCTTCGGAGGGCCTGACTGGAGGAGGGGATTCCAGCTCTAGGGACTGGATGGGGCGCCCTCAGCCCCTCCTTCGGCAGCTGTCCCGTGTTAGGCTGGGTAGGGGCCGCCTCGGACCCAGCTCTGGTCTGGTTTTCCCTCATCTTACTCCTGCTGGTGGGAGGGGAGGGCTGGTGGTGTGGGGCCTGGCCTGAGGATGGCACCCTGGACACTGAGGGAGGGCACCATCTGGCCTTGGGATGGGCAGCCCTGCAGGAGCGGTCCTGTCGGGGCACCCGGCTTTGGCTGCCGGAGTCAGCGCCCTTCGACCCGGCCCTGAGTTCCCTGAGGGTGAGGGCAGGAGAATCCCAGGGAAGGGGCCTGGGGCACTCGCTGGTGGCTGGGACAGAGTCCTGGCTCCACTCCCGCAGGGTGAGCAGGGCGAATCGGCCCGGAGCCAGGGCCCCTGGCAAGGCTGCTCTGGTTCCAACTGTGCCGGGTGGCGGCAGAGCCAGGACAAAGGAGGTCTACAAAGGAGGCCTGTTGAGGCCCTGGCCACCCCTCCCCAGCTGGCCTCCCTGGGATGATGGAATGTGGGAGAGTGGGTCTTCAGAACAGAAGGACCTTGGAGCCCCGATGGGGGTGGTGGGAGTGACTGCTGTGTGGGGAGGAGCGGCCTGTCTGCCGCTTCCGCCTGGGGCTGGGGTGAGGGCTCCAGCAGCTGAGTTCCTGCTAGAGGAAGTGCTTTGGGGTCACAGGGCAGACGCAGAGGCCGCCAGCCTGCCCTGCCACTTCTCTCCAGAAAGGAGGTATCTCTGGGCCAGAACCCTGGGAATGGAGGGTCTGAAACGGCTGTGTCTACAGGCACCCCACCTCTTCCCCATTTCCCAGGGACTGGCGACATCAAGGAAACAGAGAGGGAACGGCAGACCCACACCCTTCCTTCCTGTCTCCCCTCCCCAGACACTGGAGAGGCCCCCAATCCATTCTGGCATGAGGCTTATTCGGGCCTGACCACGAGTTTACCTGAGGTGGGGGGTGGGAAAGGCTGCCTGGGCTGTGAGTGGCACCTGCCATGGTCCCCCAGGAGTGGGCGGTGTGGACGCCCGCCAGGCATTGAAGGCGGGCTCTGGCTCAGTGCCGCTGTCTCGTCAGATGGGCAGCAAGAGGCTCTGGAGGCGGCGTCCAGGCTCTGAGCTGGCCTAGGTCTGCAGACTGGCGGGGCGTTGGCCGTGGACATGGCCCAGCCACTGCCCTTTGTCCTTGATGTCCCTGAGACCCCAGGGGACCAGAGGTAAGTGCTCTGGGGCTGGGGGCTGGAGGCTGGAATGTTCCACCCCCATGGAGAGGTCACCTGAGCAGGGGCCTGAGGAAGGAGAGCGGCAGCTGGAAGCTGATCCCCTCCCACTCCCCACAGCAGCCAGGAGCCCAGTCCCTATGATGAGAGCGAAGTGCACGACTCCTTCCACCAGCTCATCCGAGAGGCCCAGGAGGGGCTGGAGCTGCAGCAGAGAGCGAGGGGGGCCGCAGGTGAGCTCGGGCCTGGCTGCTGGGAGGCGTGGACCGAGACTGGGGTGCCCTAGCCCCTCAGGACGGGCCTCCCAGCTCTGCAGGCCTAGGGTGGGGTGGGAGAGACCGTGGCCAGAGGCATCTCCAGGACCCCTGGTGAGTCTTTCTTGCTTTGTAGGGAGTGGCCCGCACACACTCTCGGGGTCTGAGGGCACCCGCAGCACGGCCACCCTCCGCATCCTGGCCAGCATGCCCAGCCGCACCATTGGTGAGTGGGACCCTTGGCCTCGCCCTGAGTCGGCCCCGGCGCCTGGGCTGGGCCGGGCCAGGCTGGGCTTTCTGCCGGGCATCTGTGTGGCTCAGAGCCCAGCGCGGGTTCCTAGCCCGCCCGATCTGCTGCCTGGACAGCCCCATGCGGCCCTCGCTGGGCTCCAAAAACGACTCCAGAGTCGTCATGGGATAAAAATAGTCTCTTGGAATGCAGTGGTGCCCAAGGTCTCAGCTGAAAGGATTTTCCTGGGTCCTGGGAAGGGGCGAGGGACAGGGAGGCCTATGGTGAGCCCATCCTGAGGGGAGGGAGGCCTGGCCCTGCCTGGCCCCGTCTTGCCCAGCCGCCTCCGTAGGCCGCAGCCGGGGCGCCATCATCTCCCAGTACTACAACCGCACGGTGCAGCTTCGGCGCCGGAGCAGCCGGCCCCTGCTCGGGAACTTGGTGCGCTCTGCCCGGCCCAGCCTCCGCATGTACGACCTGGAGCTGGACCCCAGGGCCCAGGAGGAGGAGGGTGAGTGAGCGGGCACCAGAGCCCCAGTGGCAGACACTGGCATGGGGGGGTGCAGGAGGCCAGCCTGGTGGCGGGGCCGGGAGGGCTGGGGTGAGGCAGAGCGGGGGGCCCCCTCCCCTATCCCTTAGCAGGCTGCCTGAAGGCTTCCCCGTCCCTCTACAGGGACCCACGGGGACAGGGAAGGGGGGTCTTACCTCACAAACATCTTGGAGTGCTCGGAGGGTTGTGACCCTGGGCCCCCTCGCTGGGGACCGTGCAGGGGAAACACGCCGCCTTGTCTGTGAGCTTCCTGCTCAACTGAAGCAAACACAGGGACAAGCTGCGATTCAGGCACAGATAAGGGCACCGATGTGTCAGGACGGTGCCTCAGGGGCACATAGAACTGTCCAGGGTCCCGGCTGCGGGCAGCAGGGAGGGGCACTGGGGATGGATGGGACCTGCCTCTTCTCCTCGCAGAGAAGCAGAGCCTCCTGGTGAAGGAGCTCCAGAGCCTGGCGGTGGAACAGCGGGACCACATGCTTCGAGGGATGCCTTTAAGCCTGGCTGAGAAGCGCAGCCTGCGGTGAGCGCCTCGCTCCCCCACCGGCTCCTGCGCCCCCAGCCCCTGTGCCCCCAACCCCCAGACTGGACTGGGTGGTTCGGGAGAAGGGGCTGAGCCTGTGGGTGGCTGGTCCCCAGGAAGGAGGGAGTCGGGCCCCTCATTGATCTGGGCACCTATGGCTGCTTCTGTCCCCAGAGAGAAGAGCCGGACCCCGAGGGGGAAGTGGAGGGACCAGCGGGACCACGGCGGCGTCTGCTCCTCCTGTGGCTGGCTCAGATATGCCTGTGTGCTGGTAGGGGTCCCTGGTCTGCCCCAGGGCTCGGGCAGCTGGGCAGGGCCCCATCGCCTGGGTCCCTCCTCCGGCCTCACCCCCAGGGCCTCTCTGCT